GACCAAAACTCTCATCAAAGAGACAAAACGAACATAACGAATGTTGAACTAATCAATAACAAGAGCCAAGCCCCACCGCCGGTCTTCTCTGCTCGACCAGTCCCCATACCGACCACAACCGCAATAACCGCGACAGTCCCAAACCCTAAACACACTGTGAACACCATCAAGCCTTTCTTCTCCATCCACTCGACTCTTTGCCAAACTTCTTCAAGCCTCTCACTCATTTTTTCATTATCTTTCTCACTTTTCTCCGTCTCTGTCTCTACTCTCTTTCGCCATTCTTTCATCTCCTCTGCTTCACTCACCATCCTCTCTTGCCTCTCCTTCACACCCTCCACGTCAAGTCTCAAAGTCACAATCTCCTTTTCTCTCACACCGGTTTCGCGGTCCATCTCCTGGAATATGTTCCCGTATCTCGAGTTCAGTTCCTCCAAGTATCTCTCTAGAACCGATAGGTTCAAGTCCAGTGACCTTAACTTCTGCATCAGTATCTTCAGCACTGTGTCTCCGGGCATTCTGCTTCCTGGCTGATGACGCCTTACGTCTTCAACGGGCTCTGTAAGCTTATTATTACTCTTAGCCATTGAAGCTTCAGCTTTTGCTACCATATTCTCTGGTGGGGTTTCCCGCTCCTTCTCTCTCTGGGTGCTCTTATCAGAACCATCATCGCCTTCAGGGGACTCTGTTTGCTGCTTTACTGGCTTCTCCTTCTGCTCAGTATCTCCCTCTCTGGTTTTGAAATTGTTTTTGCTGTCTTGGACAGATATCAAATCCTCCAGCATTCGTTCTACGGCATCCACTCCATAGACTTCTACTAAACTCAAGGTGCAGTAGAATTCTGAACCGTAATGGCTTAGAAATTTTAGCTTCAAGTATCTAACCCACTTTGGCTCGACAAGTGTGAAGTTCTGCTCATGCTTCACGTTTGCAGCAGTGAAGTTTCCCATATGAACCCATGCATCAGTCGGATAAACCAGGGTGCCTTGAAGCTCAAACTCTTTCAGGTTAGAAGAGTAATGCTCAAAGTTCGCGATCTTGATGGTATTTACCAATGTTTCTTCTGAAAGTTCTACAACAACAAATTTACCTTCAGTAGAACATGGATTTCTGAGGTACTTGTCATTGTCCCGGCTTAGGATGCTTGTAGCCCCCTTTGCTTCCTTGTTAGAAGACAGGACCTTTGCACCTTTCGAAGCAGATGCATAATTGTACTCTTTCCCTCCAGGCTCCATCCTGTGAGTCACACCGCTGACCTTACCTAATAACGACTTGTTTCTAGAATTGGACGCTCTGCTCTTGAACTCATCAAGGCCAAGTGGAACAGCACGAGATAATTGATCAACCTTTGCAGCAACAATCTCTGTATCATTCCCTGGATCTGTTTTGTTCATCGGACTTTGCTTCAAAAAGTCCGTGTCTTTGCTTCCTGTGTCATTCCCTGTGCTTGTCTTGTTCATGTGACTTTGCCTTAAGAAGTCATTGTCTTTGCTTTCTGCATCAGTACATGTATCTGTCTTGTTTATTTCACTTGGCTTAAAAAACTCATCGTCTTTGCTTTCTGCATCATTCCCTGCATCTGTCTTCTTTATCTCACCTTGCTTCAAACTATCATTTTCTTTGCAATCTGCATCATTCCCTGTACTTTGCTTCAAAATGTCCTCGTCTTTGCTCTCTGTATCATTCCCTGTATATAAAATATTGATTTCTGCTGCTTGTTTCAAAGAATTCTCTTTATCTTCATTTTCTTCAGATTGGGTTATACCATCACTCCGAGTCAAATCAGACGTAACATGAACAGAATCAGGCTCTAGTAATGACGGTGCATCAGAGGGCACAGCTGACTCATCTGTCCGACCATCATCCGAATCAGCTACTCGTACAGAGTCAATCAAAGGCGCATCTGCAAGTACACAAGAGTTGGTTCTTAATAAGCTCAAGGTAAAAAAAAACAGCAATGTCAAGTGTATAGAGAGATCTTCGCTGAGTAAAATTTCTCTATTCACAGGAACCTTCAGAAGTAAGAAGTTGAAGGTTTTACCTATGCCACCATCTCCAAGGCTAACCAAGAAGGTGGATAGGAAGAGAAGTAGCCAAAGGAGAAAAACCAGAGAAAGAGAGACTTTGCAGAAGCTGTTCCTTCGATTAGAATTGCTTCTTCTAACCAGAAGAGTTGTACAAGACCTTAGCATTGCACATCCAGGCAAGAGAAGGAACAGTAAACGTATAGACAGATCACACAAGCCCTGTAATCCGCAAGATGTGCAAGTAAGCGAGACGAAGCAAGATCTGATGTGTATTCGAAAGTAATCAACGAGCATAATGATCCAGAACTCAATCAAACAGAGGAATTCTGGTTGGAAGATCTGATTTAGGGTAAAGCAGAAGACGACTACAATTGACCGGAAAAGTGATCGGAGAAAATAATTACCTGAGAGAGAGGGAATCGAAGATACGATCGGCAAAAAACGACGACTTTCCTCGACAACCCAGAAGAGAGGAATCGGCCGATGAAAGGCCTTATTAACGTCGCCGCCGCCGCCGATTAGTATCCGATCGAGGGCAATGATCTTCTTCCGGTGGTTTCCGCATCACTAAATCAATCTCTGTTTGTGGGAATCTATACGTCAATGTCACGCAGAATTGGGAAACAC